ATTCCACAAGCAGTGTCCGCTTCCTCTCCAGCTGTAGGGAATAAAACACTCAGAATAAGGAAGTACAGCACGGAGCACCAAGGATTCCATACGAGGCCCCAGAACCAGGCCCAGTGTTTTCCTTGCAAACAGCGAGGACCTCCTAATGAACGGACAGGGACTGGTGCTGGCTGCTTACAGCCGATGACCACAGAGACAGACAAGCCATGGTGTTGATGTTCTCTACCTCTTCTTGCCATGGGCAACTCTTGTTTATTGCTTCCTGCCTCCTCTTCCCATCCTCTTCCTTTTTTTTTTTTTCTCCCACATATATTTCTGGCCTACAATTCGTAGGAGTAACCTGGAACCTCTGCATCTTCCCCCATGCACTCCTCCCGCAATGCCTACCTTCCTGAACCAGCATTTCCACTCTTAAGAAGTGCTGTTCCTGTGTCCAAACCAACCAGGGATGACTCATTAGTCATCCATGAGGCCAAATGGCAGAGGTGGGCAAGGAATGATTGTGGTACGTATAGTAGCCCTCGGCACAGCCTTTACAGTCTATGAAGAAGGGCCTTGGCTAAGCAAATGAACAACATAAAAGAGAGGCCAGAAGTACTTAAGGCAATTAAAAGCACAAGCTGCTTTTAAGCACTCAACACTATTTTGAAGAGAAGTAGTCTGATTACAAATGACTTTTATTAAATCACTAGACAGATAATCACAACGGGAAAAATGCAGAACAGAATTTCAAATTCTCATGGAATCCAGACTTTCTGGAGCCATGAAGGCTGGAGGAACCCCTGAAACTATTGCTCTGAGATAAGCTTTAAACCTTAAACCTAAAATATCCCCTGAAGTCTTCTTAAAATCAAATAATAGTTTAACTTAACTAGCAAAGAAAGTCAGCCTTGAGCATTGTGCTCTTTGAAGACCTATCTATATGGGATCAAACTGACAACACAACTCGAAAGATTAGATAGGAACCTTAGGGGACAGTGAATGTATGTTAATGGGATAGGAACAACCCAGAAAAGGAGGGTGAGAATGACCGCACAACTCGAAGAATGTAATCAGTGTCACTGAATTGTACATGCAGTAACTGTTGAATTGGTGTATGTTCTGCTGTGTATATTTTCAACAACAACAACAAAATAAATTATTTTTTTAAAAATCACTACACAGAACCTGTATTTGAGCAAAACTCTGACTGGGTGGCACAAATGGTGAAGTGATTGACTGGTAGCCAAAATGCTGGTTGTTCAAACCCACCCTGAGGCACCTTGGAAGACAGGCCTGGTGGTGATCTGCTAGGGAAGCCCTATGGAGCAGTTCTACTCTGCACAAACGGGGTCGCCATGAGGCAGAATAGAGTCAATGGCAACTAACAACAACTGCTAACCTTTAATTATAATTCACATTTTAGTTATTTGGAAATGACTTGATTGGAAATTCTATAATTCATATTCTTTAAGAATTCACACTATTCTTCCTCCCAGGGATCCACATTCATGAAGTCTGGCTCTGAAAAGAAGAAAAAAAATCCCAAAAAGTAAGTAGCCACTGATGTAAAGCCAAGCCTGGCTCTTTACATGCTAGGGAATGGATCTGTGTGCAGGAGCCCACATGGGTGCACGTGGGAAAGCACTTTTGGCTCTTTCTTCAGGTGGTGCAAATAGTTAACATGCTCAGCTGCTAACCAAAAGGTTGGAGGTTCAAGTCTACCCAGAGGTGCCTTGGAAGAAAGGCCTGGAGATCTACTTCTAAAAATTTAGCCATTGAAAACCCTATGGAGTACAGTTCTACTCTGACACATATGGGGTCGCCATGAATCAGAAGCGACTTGAGGACAACTGGTTGGTTTGGTCCCTTAGGCTGGTACCCATAATTCAGCATACTGAATTTTCCTAAACAAAGTACATTTAATAAACATTTTCCCTCCTACAATCCAGCTGTGGTAGATCTGTGCTTATCCATGAACTTGAACTGCTGGGCACACACAGCTGATGCACATCAGGTATAGCAGGGCCACCCCAGATGAGTGTGCCAGGAGATACTTCAAGGTGGGGACTTGCCTCTGGAGCAGGCTTTATCTGAGCCCAGTAATAAAAGCCATCTGGATCCCTTCTTGCCAGGACCCATGTGTCAGCAGCATCTCTACCTCTTCCCTGCCAGCCAGGCTCCTGCCATGCTGGGTCAGCAATGTGGAGACATGGGTGATAAGACACATACCTGGGGAAAAGAAAGTAGAATTAGAGGGTGGAGAAGACCAAGCCCTAAGAACATCAAGAAGCAAGATTCACAGTTAGCTCTGCAGAGGCACAGTGTGCACATGGCATACAACAGTTTATGGAGCAGAAATCCATGTGAAAAGTGGTAATTGATGACTTCCAGTAAGATAAAGTGGACTGTGGGAGGGGCAGAAGGAGAAGACAGTGCAGGGAACCATTGTTGAAGGATTGACAATATGTCAATCTAATTGGGTCAAAGTAATAAAAATGTAATTAGGCTGGATATATTCAAGTTAATTTATCCTGGTTCAGAGACTAGACAGCAGACCAGGAAAAAGTGCAGTTAAAGTATTAAGGTAAATCCTAAGGCGGTGTGTGGGATTCCAGGATGAGGAGTGGAAATGCTGAAGGAGCAAAATTGTGAAACACTTGGCGCTATGAGTTCAAGGGGATGAGGAAGTGCTCGAGCTGGGGCAGCACAAAGGAGCTGACTAAGGGGCTGTGAGCCAGAAAAAAGAGAAGCTCGTTCTGAGAAGTTTTGTGGACAGGGCGGAGCCTGAAGAAGCTACTAATTCAGGTTTCTGTGGAAGCTCATTACTTTGTGGGCAGGGGTCTGAGGCCTGACTACAAAGGATGCTTAACTCTGGCCTTGAACTGGATGGTCCACATAGGTGAATCAAGAAGGGCAGCTTTACTTGCAAGCGGCCACCTAAGATGCATCAATTGGTCCCAACCCACCTGGAGTAAAGGAGAATGAAGAACACCAAAGACACAAGGAAAGTATTAGCCCAAGAGACAGAAAGAGCCACATAAACCAGAGACTGCATCAGCCTGAAACCAGAAGAACTAGATGGTGCCTTGCTACCACCAATGACCACCCTGACAGGGAACACAACAGAGTCCCAGATGGAGCAGGAGAAAGGTGGGGTGCAAAACTCAAATTCTAATAAGAAGACCAGACTTAATGGTCTGACTGAGACTGGAGGAACCCCAGAAAGTGTGGCCCCTGGATTCTCTATCAGCCCAGAACTAAAACAATTTCCAAGGCCAACTCTTCAGACGGATTGGACTGGACTATGGGACATAAAGTGATACTCGTGAGGAGTGTGCCTCTTAGCTCAAGCAGATACAAAAGACTAAATGGGCAGCTTCTGTCCAGAGGTGAGATGGGAAGGCAGAGAGGATTAGGAGCTGGTTGAATGGACATGGGGAATCGGTGGAAAGGAGGAGTGTGCTGTCACAGTATGGGGAGAGCAATTAGGGTCACATAACAATGTATGTATAAAATTTTTGTATCAGAAAAAATAAAAAGAAAATAGTAGCCACTTGACTACTCAAAAGGAGCCACGAGGCTCTATCCTCTGTAGGTTCTCTCCTGAGAAATAAATGCCAGTGTCTGTGCCAACAAGAGGCGGCTCAGGGCTGGGGAGGGCTTCCAGTCCTTTTGGGCTCAGCAAAGTAACACACCCATTAAACCATATCAGAGTGTCTTCATCATTGGCATCCCTCCTCTAAAGGGGCCACTTGGCTAGGGCATGTACATCCACGTCTGGGCAGTAGGTGAGCCACTTTCCAAGCCATGCCCCCTCCCCCCAACCCCCAATGGAGCAAGGAGAGGCTGGAGGTCATACTGTGAGTGCTGGGGCAGGTGGGCAGTATGGGCTCATTTCCATGAGTTCAGTGGGTCCCATGTAACAAATTATTAATTGGAGGATTGTTATGGATTGAACTGTGTCCCCCTAAAATGTGTGTCAGCTTGTCTAGGCCATGATTCCCAGTATTGTGTGATTGCCCACCATTCTGTCATCTGATACGATTTTCCTGTGTGTTGTAAACCCTACCTCTATGATGTTAACGAGGCAGGATTAGAGGCAGTTCTGTTACTGAGGCAGGACTCAATCTACAAGATTAGGTTTGTATCTTGAGTCAATCCCTTTTGAGATATAAAAGAGAGAAGCGAGCAGAGACACATGGGGACCTCATCCCACCAAGAAAGCCGTACCAGGAGCAGAGCACATCCTTTGGACCCGGGGTCCCTGCGCTGTTAAGTTCCTAGACCAGGGGAAGACGGATGACAAGGACCTTCCCCCAGAGCCGACAGAGAGAGAAAGCCATCCCCTGGAGCTGATGCCTTGAATTTGGACTTTTAGCCTCCTGGACTGTGAGAGAATAAATTTGTTAAAGCCAAAAAAAAAAAAAAAAAACGGCAGCTTTACAGATCCTGCAAGCTGGTATGTCCCTCAGCTGGGCAGTCTGAACTGAGTAACATGAACAGGAGTCCCTGGAATTTACCCAATTTGTATGTCCTTATGAGGAGCCCTGGTAGTGCAGTGGTTAAGCACTTGGCTGCAAACCAAAAAGGTCAGCAGTTCAAACCCACCAGCTACTCCACAGGAGAAAGATGTGGCAGTCAGTTTCCATAAAGATTACAGCCTTGGAAACCCTATAGGGCAGTTCTACTCTGTCCTATAGGGTCACTATGAGTCCGAATTGACTCAATGACCATGGGTTAATGGGTATAGACTGAAGTTCCTTTGCCCGCTTGCACAGTAGTATTCATACTTCATACAGGTGACTGAGGATACAATTTAGGAAAAATCAAGATAATTGAGGGATACCGAAGGAACCTGAAGAGGGACCTCTTCCAGTTGTTGGTTGTAGAAACTCTAGTTTCTCATGCGGTGCCAGAAGTCGTCTCATAGTTGATAGTAAAATGAGCTAGAACACTTTATAACTGGGTGATCCCTGATGGCCTCTCTCACACACACCAAATGTGATAACCACGACTCTGCTACAGGGCAAGGCAAAAGCCAGGTCAGCCCTTGAGGTCACTAGGAGTGTGATTTAGGCTGGGGTACTATACTCACTTGCCTATGTTCAGGCAAATCACAGCCACAATAGTAAAGAACTCCTTCAGCCTTCCCAACATGCAGGTTCTCTCCTTCCTGGTAGAGAGGGAGCCAAGAACAAAAAGGAAAAGGAAAGGTGCAAACAATTCCCTTCAGCCAGAGGTGCAGAGACAGGTACCTTGTGAGGAGGTTGTGCCTGGTGAGCCAGGGAGCTCAGAGGGCAAAGGGACAGGTGAAGGACAAGTCCCAGGGAGAAGCAGCACGGTCCCAGCAAGGGGCCTTCAGGGTTGTTGTCATGCTACAGTATTTGGGCAAAGACATCCCAGGCCCTGTGGAGGAGTCCAGGGCTTCAAAGAATCCACCTGAGAACACCAACACCATTACCTGAGTGGCGGCCCACAGCTGAGAATGCCAAGCAGAGTGGGGTTCAGCTCTGCAGGTGACCTGCCCACGCATGGCTCACCTTATCTCACAGTCACTCAGTTTCCTCTTTGAATCACCTGTCTCAGAAGACACCCTCTCAGGAAATAGGGGAAGGGTTGGAAGAGCTAGGGCTGTGATTTTAGGGAAACCCAGCTTTAAATCCCTTCTGCACAGCTCACTGGCTGTGTGTTCACTTCTCTCTGAGCTTCAGTAACTGCTCAGGAGATAATATATGTAAAGCACCTGGCACAGAAGTAGCTCAATATATGTTCATTTTTTTCCTTCTTCCTCCTCCCCAGTGGCAAGGACTCCTGGGAGGGAAAGACCATTCTTCTCTTCACAAATCCTAACCCTGATGACAATCTGGCCCCTAAGCCAAGCCACAGACTCCTCTCCTAACCCAAACACCTATGGGACTAACCCTGGCCCCAGGTCAAACTGAGAACCCAGGGTCTAGCCACCCCAAAACTGTTCACAGACAACAGCTGCCACCCAAGGTCCAAGATCAAACTCTGCTGCCCCAGCCCACCCAAGCCCTGTCAGGGTCTGCCCCTGCCCAAGTGCATAAGTCTGACCCCAAAGGGACTTAACCCACAGCCTTAAACTCCCGGCCTCCACCTCAACTTCGGTTCCTCCCTCTGACAGTTAGGGCTCAGGACCTCAGCCCAACTGACTTCTGGTTGCCAAGCAGGTTGCCATGGATGCAAGTCAGCAGGAACACGTGGCCAAGTGAGTGTACTGAGCATGTGCAGAGGGGTGACAGGAGGGGCTCTGACTCCTCTGGGGTCTTGAAGGGACTGGGGCAGGGCATGGCAGGGCATTTGCCCAGAAGGAGATCTTGAGAGCCGTGGGGGTGGGGGTGGAGGAGGTGGTTCTCTATTGCTCTTTTGAAGACCCTGGGAGGGAGGGGAGGTTGAGAGAAAGGCCAGTGTAGCCTCAGTTTCAAAGGGCAGGCTTCTCCATTTCCAGAAGAATAGTCACATTCAGAAACCCTCATGGATCTCAGGGGAGTCCTGTGAAGGAGAGAGCTGACCCCGACAGAGACTAAGGGCTGTCAGTCTGCCTCCACTCTGGGCAGGAAGGAGACAAGGGGGAGGGGCAAACCACTGGCTGGCCTAGGGACTCTAACACAGAAGTTTTCTGTAGTTTCAAACAAAAGAACCCAAGGTGTGGGGATGCTCTGTAACAGACAGGATTCTGCTGAGGAGACGAGGTGTGGTTGACCACGTGTGTGGTGGGGCAGTAGTGACAAATGGAACAAGTCCAGATTCTGCTCTGGTTGTAGGACTTGGGTCAGCCATTCCACCTCCGCAGATCTTGTGAAATGAGAGGGTCTCTATATCCTCTAATCCTCAGACATTCTTATTCTTCATGTGCATATTCAGATGGCTCTCATTAGAGCAGTTTTCAGGGGTTATCTCTCTATAACAAGACAGCTGGGAGGGCTTTAGGGAAGAGGTGAGTGTGGGCACACACTCCCATACAGCAGGGAAGTGACAGGGCATTCCAGCGTGAGGAATGACCTATGTCCTGGTGGGCACGGGAGTCCTTATTCAAATGTCCATAGGAGGAGGCTGCTATTCTGTGACATCTGACAGTCATTGTGTGCCCGTTATGTGTCCGGCACTGTGTTCAGTGGAGAATACCAAAAAAGTACGTAGGCGACATCTATGGGTGTTTCCTCCTCATTCGTTTCTCCCTTTCCCCTAGTTTCCTGTTTCTGCAGGTCCCTGTGGTTAGGAAAAGCTGACTGGACCCTCAGCTCCAGGGGTAGAACCTGTGCCAATTAGCACATCCCACCCCTCTGGCCACAGGGACTGGTTAGGGATAAGCATGTTCTGAGCCTCTCCAATCAGAATGAATCCCAGGACTTTTGCTGGGAATCCTGGGATATAGACTCTGTCTCTGCTTCTGTACATAAATAAAAAATTACGTAGTTCTGGGAGATTCTCACAGTCATTTTGGGACCCTGAAGCTATCCCTAGAAGGAAGACAGAGAGGATAGACCTAAAGAAAACAAGTTCTTGAAGGCAGCCCTACTGCTAGAAGTTTCAGTTATGAGTCCATAAATTCCCTTTATTGAGTAAGCCAGTTTGGGTCAGGTTTGTCTTTTTTTTTTCTTTTTTGCAGCAAAAAGCATCTTAACTGATGACTGCCCTCATGGAACATAACTTTGTATGCAGGAGAACGACTGTGCCCAGGGCTGTGTATGTAAAGGCTGAGTTATTTGCTGCACAAAGTTAGAGTTAGAGCCACAAAGATCAATGAAGACTCAGGCAGTGATAGGATTCCTGAATAAGGCAGGTGGGATTTGATTGTGGAGGGGAAAAGGAGGATGACATTCTATGCATTTGCAAGACTATGATTTTCTTTTCTGGTGGAATGAGGTGTCTAGGAAATCAAGGTGGATATTTGAGATGGGGCCATATTGCAGGGAATTTTGAAAGCCAAGCAGATAAATTTAAACAACATGGTAGTCAAAAGGAAGTCATTGTGGGGTTTGAGCTGCAGAGGGACATAAAGTGCTTTAAGAAAGAACATCAGAGTGAGGCTACAGTCAGTTGAAAACAGAGCATAAGGGGTCGAAGAGGAGACTATAAAAATGACCCAGACATTAGGTGACAGCACTGGAATGGGTAAATACATACATACATATATATATATATATACATATATACATATTTAATTACACTTACCTGATTTGATACCTTTTGCTGGGTGCTAGGAATATCAGATTAATAAGACTGGTCCCTATCTTCAAGTAACGGCAAGGGTGGGAAATTAGGGAAGAGAAATGACAGTGGAGATGGGTGTGACAGTGTGGAGAAAATCCTGACAGGGTTTGGTGACAGATGGGACTGATTTAGGAAATAATATTGGAGTTATTATTCCCTCTCCATGAGCATAGAGAATGTGACCCAGCTGGAGCTGGGCTCACAAGGACTCACAAGGACACATCAACTGGGCCCTGAGGTATAAAGACAATAGCTAAGATAATCTTGGAAAATATCTTTTAGGGAAACTTTCACATAAAGCCAATCAAACCTAACACAAAAGACTTCCCACTTTGTCTTTTTCTATTAGCATTTAGTGAATAAAAATTTGTTGGACCAATGAAGACCCTCCTGACTCTCGTTACTGAAACCTGTACCAATGATTGTTAAGAAAGATAATTCAAAATGTAGGATTCACAGTTTCTAGCCAATCTGAAAAGGCTAAGCTTTCAATGGTTTTGTCCATTTGTAATGTTAATATATACTGATGGCTCTGTAACTGATCTTTGGACTTGGGCATACATGGCTGTGGCAGCATGCTTGTCTGTTTTCCCATTCTTGCCTACTCTGTAATATTCTTTGGACTCAGGCAGACATGGATCTAGCAGCATGCTTGTCCGTTTTCCCACTTTTGTCTGTTCTGTGATATTTCCTTGGACTCAGGCAGACATGGCTCTGACAGCTTGGTTGTCCTTTTCCCACTTCTGCCCTTTTGAATATATGCTGAATAAAACTTTCTTTTTACTTTACTAAACTTTATGATGTTTTTCCCCTACAAAAGGACCTGGGAATTAACAGAGAGGATAGAGCTGAAGCTCCACCGTGGAAACAGACATTTTGAAGGCAGACTCCAAGATATGCGGCAGCGACTATCCTTCGTAGGTGTGAAGGAAAGGCCAGGCAGCTGCAGGTTTTCTGGCCTAGAGGACCTGGAGAATGGTGATGTTATGGACAGAAGAAGATAACAGTAATAATAAATAATGGTTATGAATACTTATGTGTCAGGCACTATTAATCCTCATAATAAACAATGGGGTAGTTGCTGTTATTATCACTCTCATTTTGTGGATGAGGAACTGAGACAGAAAGGATGTAGCAGAGTCAGAATTTAAACCAAGACAGTTTGATTCCAGAGCCTGCCTTCTTAACCCTTACACACTAAGCTGTCTGGGGAAGTCTTCTGCATGCAGTAAAAATGTGACTCTGAAACATTTTCAAATGACAACAAGACCTTGTAAATAATTTTTGCTTTCGCTCCAAGATACCTTCCCATCATGACATGGGTAAAGTATAGATTCTTGTTAACTCCAAATAATAAAAACCATCAAACTTTGACAAATCAAGGGAGGTTCATTGTGACTGCTTAGCGTGAAGCATCTGCAAAGTGCATGAGAAACGTTGAGTAGTCATTAATCATAATTTACAATGCCATTGTGAGAGCTTCTCGCAGCTGAGACTCTGGCCAAGCATGTGAGAAAGACAGGATGGGAGGGACAGAGAACCCTGGGCCCCCTTGCCTCCCTAAAACTCTTGAAAGAGATGACTAAAACTTAAGACACATCTTCTCAGTCTACATAAGGTAATGTACAGTACATCTCAAATCCAGGTAAGCAATAGCCACCATAGGTTAACATTTGAACTAGCTGCCCACACAGAAATTACTTTTAGGAAAAACTATTGAATGATGCTGTAAGAGACCCCATTTTGTGAAATTATTTGTTTCCATTTGGAAACACTGAGTCAAACGATTCTAAAAATGGGGTCAGTGTGGCAGCTGGTGGTTGCTGTTATGGAGAGCCCTTTCCCAGGATTATTCTTGGTCTTAGCCTCTTCAGGGTACAGAAGAGACTGCAGGTAATTAATGTACTTGATTGCAGCCCTGAGGGTTTCCACTTTGCTGAGTCGTTTCTCCAAATACTCCTCTGGCAGATGATGGCGGAGTCGGGCATAGCCTTCGTTGACACACTTCACCCGCTGCCTTTCTCGCTCATTCCTTTTCCGGATAAAGGCTGGCCCGTAGGAGTATTCACACCTTCTGTAATTTGGATAAGGCATTGGGAAAGAGAAGGTGCAGGGGTCACCATAATTTTCCATGATCATGGAGCCACTGGAAAAAGGCAGCAATGGCAGCTCTTCAGAATAAGGGGATGGCACTGGGGCCTCAGGGTACAGGTGGAGAGTGACCATAGGGTCCAGATAGAAGGACCGGGTCAGTGGTAAGTTGGCAGAATCAGAGAAGACAGGCAGTTTGTCTGGCAGATTAGAGTAGCTTCCATTGTCCATCATTCCCTCTTTAACCTGGAAATATAACCAAGTTTATTAATTTGGCCAGATCAGACGAGAGTAGATGTCATTTGCTTTTAAAGACTTCTGCTTTGATGAAAGGTTTCTGAGTTCATTCTGAAAACTACATGAGGTAACGATATTCTGTGGGTAGTAAGAGAAGATTTTCAAAGGAACACAGAAACATTGTTAAGTAACATTGAGTCACTCTGTGAGAAAATTAATCCTTTTTCAATCCTTGCGATTAGAAAGATACAGCCTGAGTCTCGTGATAGTGTCTTCCACATTACTCTAGAGTCTCCTATGGTGCAGTGGTTAAAGCACTCGGCCACTAACCAATAGGACAGGAGTTCAAATCCACCAGCCGCTCCGTGGGAGAAAGATGTGGTAGTCTACTTCCGCAAAGATTACAGTCTGGGAAACCCTATGAGCAGTTGTACTCGGTCCTTTAGGGTTGCTATGCATTAGAATCAACTCAGTGGCAATGGGTTTGGTTTTTTTTTTTTTTGCTTTAGTATCTAACTAGAATTTAATAATATTTTTACTGTTAACTTTTCTTTATTGTTAATTTTACTGATTTCACACTTAGTGATATAAAGTTTCTTTTAAAAATAAATCTACTTGAGTAAAAAATGTGAATGATTTAAAGAAAAATATTAAATAAATAATAATACAGGTGGAACACAGATGTGATGAAGATTGTGAAGGTTTACGCAAATAACTGAAGTTTGGGAAACACTGAAACACTACAATATTCAAATACATGTTGGAGAAATGACAAACTAGTTAATGATCATGCAACTTCACAGGCATAAACAATACCTGATATGCCAGAGGCAAAATCAAAATTAAAAATAAGAAAGGAATTATTGACTTTTAAAAATTCACTGTAACTTTCTGGAGCCACTGAGGTGGGACAAATGCCTAAACGATTGCCCTGAGATAATTTTTAAACCTTAAACCAAAAAATATCCCCTGAAGTCCTCTTTAAACCAAACAATAGCTTGATTAGTAAAGAATGTCTGCCTTGAACATTGTGCTCTTTTAAAGAACTATCAATATGGTCTGGAGCCATGGAGGCTGGATGAACCCCCAAAACTATTGCCTTGAGATAATCTTTAAACCTTAAACCAGAAATGTCCCCTGAAGTCTTAAGACCAAACAATAGTCTAGCTTAACTAGTTAAGAATGTTGGCCTTGAGCATTGCGCTCTTTTAAGATCTATCTATATGGGATCAAATTGACAAAAGCATCTCCAAAGGTTAGAGAGGAAGCTTAGTGGGCAATGAGTTTATGTTAATGGGGAAGCAACAATTTGGAAAAAGAGGGTGAGAATGGTTGCACAACTTGAAGAATGTAATCAATACCACTGAATTGTACACGTAGAAATTGTTGAATTGGTGTAGGTTCTGCTGCGTATATTTTAATCAACAAAAAATAAAAAATTATTAATAAAAATTCACTATACCTTTAAGTGAGAAACTCCCCTAACTCAATTTACAAATTGTTACTTACGCAGAACTTTAGATATGTTGAATAAAGTGCATCTGTTTTAGTTCTTTTTTCTTTTTCCCTATGGAGGACAAGGATAAAGTATTATACCCCTGGAGGTCCCACACCAACACGTTTCCTATTTCTGAGTAGGTCTGCATCCACGTAATATTTTAAACCACCATTACTTTTTGCCTTTGTAATTATATAGTCACTACAGATTTTACAGGGCCATCGAGTTTAACAAGATAACTGGGCAGCAGGATAGTACTGTAGGAAAAGAACACTTTTTATTTGGTCCTAATACTCTCAGAGTTTCAATCTTGGCTCTGCCCCTTCCTAGCTGTATGTCCTTAGGACAGTTCCTTAACCTCTCTGAGCTTCAGCTTCCTCCTATGTCCAGCTGAGGTATTAACTACTCTGCAGGTAGTTGTGAGGATCAAATGAAAGTACATATAATGTACCAAGTACAAGCAGCAGCCCTGGTGGCACAGCAGCTAAGCACACTTGGCTGCTAACCGAAAGGCTGGTGGTTTGAACCCACCAGCCACTCCACAAGAGAAAGATGTGGTAGTCTGCTTCCTTCCATAAAGATTTCTCTCATTGCCGTCAAGTTGATTCCAATTCATAGCGACCCTATAGGACAGAGTAGAACTGCCCCACAGGGTTTCCAGAAGGAGCTGGTGGATTCACACTGCCAACTTTTTAGTTAGCAGCCGAGCTCTTAACCACTGTGCCACCAGCCTTGGAAACCCTATGGGGCTGTTTTACTCTGTCCTGTAGGGTCACTGTGAGTCAGAATCAACTTGACGGCAATGGGTTTTTGGTTTACCACGCACAAACGTTAGTTCTTTTTCTCTTTTCTTTCTTCATGGATGAATACTTGTGCAGCATCCCTTTCTAAATTGCACCTTATAGAAAATCTGGCTTATATTTTCCCTAACACTGGAGAATGAAAACATTTATCTACCCAAAGCACATTTGTTGAGAGATGAAGAATACACTTAAAATGGAAAAGAAAAAGCAACATAAACATCTAATTGTGGGTTGATTATCCAGAAAAGAAGGAAGTATGGCTTTCTGTGCATTTCTTGGGGTTTGATTTGTCAACATCTTCAGGAATGAGAGGTTGTTCTCTATGCTCAGATATACAAAAAAAAAACAACCAGTCCTAAGGTGTATGGGCAGTTAAAACACTTGGCTGCTAACCAAAAGATTGGCAGTTCAAGTCTACCCAGATGCTCCTTGAAAGGAAGGCCTGGAGATTTCAAAACAATCAGCTATTGAAAACGTTATGGAGTACAATTCTACTCTGACACACATGGAGTCTTCATGAATCGGAATCAACTTCACGGCAACTGGTGTGTATGTTGTAAGGTTTGTGGACAAGATTAGATAACATTGGCATTTGCCTCTCTGCCTGAGCACAGGCAAAAACTGTGGCTGCACCGTGTAGTGAGAGGAGCAGCCTCTAAGCACCAGAATTCAAGTGTAAAACAGTGTGTTCCAATTCCTGTCAAAAAGCCTATCTAGTACGGCCTGTGAAAAGACAAGTGGCTGTGGAAACAGAAAGGGCGGTGGAAGTTGCGGGTTGGGGAGGATTATAAGTCATGGTGAAACAGGCTGGAGAAGGAGTAAATGCCAGGAAAAGCTCTTACTAACATAGCGGGGCTGAGATAAGTGCAACAGAACCAATTAAAGCAGAGGGAGATGAAAGATTCCAAATTACTGACCAAATGCCCTAAAATAACTAACATACACAAAAATCTCTGGAAGATCAAAAACCAGCCAAGATTATGTCAAAAAGAAAAAGTTGCTGAGAGGAAAGAGTTAGGAAATTCCCAAGCCAGGAATTCTAGAGAGTAAGAAATAAAGAACACGTATGGCAAAAGCTGCAAAATGATGGCACAATGGCTATCAAGACTGTGTTACTACATTTCTCACAACAGCAGAGCCTTATTTCTGCCTATTGCCTCAAACCAGAACTGTTACCAAAAAGTAAAACAGATGTCATCAAAGCCAATTATATACAAGAATTCCTTGGGGTGTGGTTTGACCCTGAAAGATCATTTTAATATCTTAAACTCTGACTGAGATGAAATCTGAGTAATCTATATTTGCCAAGAGTAATCAAAAATTTCAGATTTTAACAAGTGTTTCCATAATTCTTAGAAAAAGAACATGGTGCCTCTGGAGACACATCCATGAGAAACTTTTTCTGTTGAGCATTTCCAATAAGTTCATCAATTAATGTAATAGCATTTAAATAGTCACCCTTTATTCAAAGAAGAACATTTAATTACAAAGCAACAGAGTGAGAGAATGAAAAAAAAAAGCAATGATGAAGAGAATGGAAGATAGAAAGCCTAGTGGAGGCTGGAAGTGTTTATAAAAATTGAGTACAAGTTTTAAAAGAAAGTTACACATTGTCACTGCTGGGCTCTATGGTTCCACACACATGCACAGCTAACAAACACACGCTATCTTGGGAAAATCTCAGGTTTCTGTCTTAGAGCTCTTCTGGGAAATAAATGATGAGGTTTCAACAATAAAATCCTAAGAGATTCTGGATGCTGTATTGAGCATAAAATTTTTAACTTTCAGAGATATTAAAAATATCTAGCAAAAAACAAAAAGCTACAATTGCACATATAATTGAATCATGGAATGTTAGAACTGGTAGGCACCTTAGACTTCCTCTTATCCAATCCCTTGTCTTTCAAATGAGGAAACTAGTGCACAGAGAGGTTGTGACTTGGTTGATGTTGCAAAGCTAGTAGCAGAGCATAGACCAGAACTGAGGTCTCCGGACTTCAAACCAAAATGCTTCCACTCCTCCAGATAATTTAATCCACAGCAAAATCTGGATCTTTCAATATATGGGCAATATTTGATAGTTTAAGATAATAAGTGAGTAATCAGATAGCTGACAAAATTCACCACTTATCAATCTTGCCTCCAGATTTTCTTAAAAACCATCTTCTTTTTCTCCCCCATGGGCCACTCTGGAGAAATCTCTTACCTGAGTTTTGTTGTCAAGATGCTGTATTTTGAGTTGAGTCAGACTTCCCTGATTTATAGGTGATCATTGGTGACAATATGCAAAGTAGCTTACAGTTAAACAGAACTGCACAGTTCTGGTTTAGCTTTTTTTCCTACCTAATATGTAGATATTAACAATACATAACAGTACTAAATAGAAAAGTTTGCTTACAAAACTGGACTCTTGTAACAGATTTTTTTGTAAAATGAATGATCCCCCATGTATCTAGGTTATATGATTTTTTTTACCATCAAAATTATTTATGGAAAATATCTTTAAGTAATACTCTCATAATGTATATATATATTGGTCAGTATTCTTTTGGATAGAATCCAGAACCAGAAAGATTAACATGACCTTTTAATCTTTTAACACTAACCATAAAATCAATAATTTTAGGTTAGATTTGTGGTTAAAAAAAATTTGTTTTTACTAACCAAAAAATCCATTTAAAAAAAAAAAACCAAACCCATCACTGTTGAGTCAATTGCAACTCATAGGAACCCTATAGGACAGAGGAGAACTGCCCCACAGTGTTTCCAAGGCTATAAATCTTTATAGAAGCAGACTGCCACACCTTTCTCCCACAGAGCAGCTAGTGAATTTGAACTTCCAACCTTTCAGTTAGCAGCCAAGGGCTTAACCACTGTGCCACCACGGCTCCTTAAAAAAAAAAAAAAAAAATTTACAGCTCCTAAAACCTTGTTACAAATTTAATGTAATTTAATTCTAATATAATTTTTCCCAAAATTTATTTTAGTAGAACAAGTACTCCTTTGTGCATTTTCAATCTCTCCATTGATACATCAAAATGATATTTGGTATACTTTTCAGAGCCTCATCTAACCATCCAGATAGTCTCAGTCTCTCTCTCCATACACACACAAACAGATCATTTTTTGTGTTTTATGTTTAGAATGGTATAAAACAGTAGTCTCACAAAAAGGGTACAAAATCTCAATGCAGCTTCAAATTCATCATACAGCCAAAGAGGGAGGAGAAAAAACCGAGGAGACATGGACAAAATGGTAGATGTTTCAAAAATTATTTTTATTGTTACATTCCAAAGAGGACATAGGAAGAAAAAGCCAGTTATCCAATAACTATTATGCCTCTCTAAGGGAGGCAGCCAGAATCTGAGTCCTAGTTCAAACTGCGCACACTAGAGCTCACACAGCTGCCTCCCAACACGACCGGAAATGATGACAAATATGTGTATGTCATCAATTCAGGGAGGCTTGGGTTTAAAAGCAAATTTCTTTATTGCAAGTGTCCACGTCATTAAGATGAATCCTTAAAGATACTAGAAGATGAGAAAGACCACACACACCAAGACTATATGTTTACTCATTAGAGTAAACTAGCAAATGGCCAGTTTGTTCTTGGATGCATTGCATCAGACATCACAGTACATGAACAGACTCTGCATTTTGTGAATAGCCACCAGGCATTTCAGATCCAGTTCACCAGGAAGTGTAGCCACAGGCCAATCAACTGCCTCGCTAATTAATATAGTCAGTGCAAAATTCAAATGGGTAAGTCCAAAACTTCGATAAGGCTGGCAACACTGCAAAATATAAATGAAACTTGAAAACAGGAATAAAGTCTATTTACAAAAGTTTGTTTAATAACATGACTTGAGAAAAGTTAAGCACTTCTCACCCATCTCCCACCCACCCCCTGCAAAACAAACAAACAACAAAACCTGAAAATTATCTTGAAAACCAAGTCAAAACTGTATAGTGAAAAACAGAGTGCTTGTTCCAGGTAAAGGACTTCAAGATAATCTACAAAGCAGATTTATTTATATTAGTAAAAGTCACAAATAGGAAAAAGTTTATTGGCTGACATTTGAGATGTGTGCTTTCAAAAATGTCTCTATTAATACATAAAGGGGAAAAAAAAAAAAAACTAAGCACGTTTTTGCTTCCAGTTTTGAATCTTCAGCCAGAGTTTGGTGAAACCAACAGGGAGGTGAAAACTCAGCCAGTTCTTCCTTTGTCTTGTTTCCTTCTAATCACCTTGAATTTGAAACCCAATTAGCTGAGGACAACATGGCGGTCAAAGACGGATTTTCGCTGCTCTTGAACTTGAAGCTTCCAGCGCTGCTGGGCATACTCTACCTTGTTGAGCACATTGGCTCGACTGCGGGAGCGTGCTAGCACATCATGGGCATTTGCAAACGGCTGGTGATCCTGAAAGTCCGGGAATGGAGAACATCAGGGATGGTATGACCAGTGTAAAACACACACAAACCAGCCACAGAGATAGAAGCAGTTGAACATTTCAAGTAACACTGGCCAAGCATACCTAGGCACTTAACTGCCAGAAGTAGGATGAACTGAAGTAGGAGGAACTCAACTATGGAAACAGGTGGTCCAGGAAGCATAAGTGATGAAGGGGCATTTGGGAAATGCTACCAGGATGACCATTTCCAAAAAGATTTCCTTTAAGAAGCAGGGATCAAGATAAAGACAGTGGTCATTCATGTCAAAGAAAAGCCTTCCCTGATAAGCTGGGGAAAGGAAAAAATCTATTTTCATGTTAACATCTCCATTTTACAGATATGGAAAGTAGGGCTTTTCCTTGGTTTATTCAATACTACAGTGAAACCTGTGAGAGCTGGAACTTGACAGGACTGCCTTGTTTTTCTAGGTCTCGTAAATTTTCTGTCTTTGACAGGGTGTAAGTCTTACCACTTTTTTATCACTTGTTTTAGTGGAAAATATTTGCGTTTTCCTTCTCTGACAAGTTTCCACCTTATATAGGTTCCAGCTTTTGAGGGTTTTACTATATATAGCTAATCTGTGGCAGAAGAAAGCCTGCCTTTTAATTTCCTATTAGAATTGTTTGCCTGCCAGCTGGGGCCACATCCACACTGAAAGATGAGCTGACAGGGTTTTATTTTGGTAGGTTTTAATCTCTCCCTGCACCCCCAACAGATACACTAAATGGACTGGTTCCCAAAAGCCTTTTCATTCTCCCCATTCTCAAATCTGTAATGAAATGACACACAACTCAAGTGCTACAATTACCCTCTATTACTAATGACAGTAAGGAATTATTACTTCTGCATCTCTATTCAACAGACTTGAATCTTTCATTGCTAAACACCCAGTGGCTTCCATGCTAGATGCTGCCGTAGGAAAGATGCTGTTCAAGGGTTACCCTGGTATCTGAATAGAAAACCAACCTATTCTCGTCAAAGTAAACTAATGCAGCTGGATGTTTGTAGTCATTACACAGGAAACCACCGTGCTAATCTATCTATGAATGAGATATAAACACAGCTGCCTAAATGACAAAAAGCATTCAATAGTAATTTATTGCTTTTGTTTGCCTTTTTCCTTGATCTCTTTTCCAGGACCCTGTGTTAGCAAGGTTTCTAAATGTTCCAACCTAGGATCCAAGTCACAAACCCTACCCCTTAATCTAAACTTTGCCTCTAAGAGAATAACAACACTGTTTTGTTCTACATGTTTGAAAAAGCTCTATTATATACCCAGGGCAGGAGTTAGCATGTATATGGAAACTATACATAACCCCATAACTATATATACATATGTATATATATGTGTGTATACATATATATATATATTTATGTGTGTGTGTGTATATGACTATAGGGTGTTACAATACCTGGTCTTGTTTTTATAGCAAGACACTTAAACAATGTCTACATTTCAAAGACATCAAAGAGTTTTTTTTTATAAAGAATCTTTCCCTGCCTTCTTTACCAAAATTCTCTGAACTTTTTTATTTAGATTAACAGCTTGTACAAACTTCATTTAGCTTTTATTTTTAACTTTACAAATAAAAATAATAAAAACAACTCCATAAGTTCAAAATGTTTCAAAGATCTAAGAAAGAAGGTAAGGAAAAGAGGAAGGCTAAAGTTGTAGGATTACTTGATTTCCCATAAGGAAATAAACCAACCCAAGGTCATTTAACAAATGAGAGCAAACATCAAAACTCAGCCTGCCTAACCTTGACTTGGTGTCACATCTTCTCAAAACACCAATGTTGTTCAGGTAGATTAAAATGACACTATGGGAATATGGTGCTTCAGTGAACTTGTATATAAAATATTATCATCACTGGTTTGTTTCGACATAAACAAGACTGGGAAGAAAGATTATCAGCAAAGCACTTCTCAGGTTCATAGTCCTGTTACCTATTCTTCAAGGTAGGGTGTGAAAAAGCTTCTTAAGGAACAAATCTAAAGGACTAAACAAACCAGTTAATCCTTTTGGTCTGTTCTCCACCTATCAGAACAAGATTGAACCAGCTGTTCATGGTCATGAATGCTGGGAGAATGCAAATAGAGATTTACCCTTTTTATATGTTTGTTCTTTTTACCCCTGATAAAATTACAATAAATACAAAACATGTTTTAATGTAATGCTGAGATAACAGTGATGATGTGTCATGGATACATGATACAGTAAATATTGTGACTACTTGCAGTGAGTTCAACTATCTGTACTAACTCTTACTTGGTTTAAAATTCCCTGTACTGAACAAAAATGGGAAAAATGAAAAATTGGAATGTGAGAATTTAACAAAAGCATTTTTAAAAGTACCTAAATAGTGAAGAACTCACATCTTGAGTAAGCAACAATTGTAGAAATTTATATTTAACTTCTTTTTGTTACAGTTGTTACCATAAATTCACAGGTCTAGTCGAAAAACTTCTCTTTGCCCAGAATCAGTTTAAGAGCTATGTGAGAGTCAGCCAGGCCCCTCAGAGACACCAGTCTCAAATGGTCAATGCACACGTAGAATCAATCACTTATGGGCAAAATGGTTACTGAGTGCATGATCCCATCAAGTGCGTGCCCGACATGTTTTCGTCTATACATTTGTGCATCTCTTTCTTTTATGTTCTGTGTGTCTTACATTAATGTTTCTATTCCTGAAAGTGGAAACCCTGGTGGCATGGTGGTTAAGAGCTACTGATGCTAACCAAAAGGTCAGCAGTTTGAATCTACCAGGCGCCCCTTGGAAACCCTATAGGGCAGTTCTACTCTGTCCTATATGGTTGCTATGAGTCAGAATCGACTTGACAGTAATATTTTTTGTTTTTTGGTTATTCCTGAAAGCAGGCTCCAGGTATTTAATGCTGTAAAGGATCCATTTTAAGTCAAACTTTCTACCTATGTGCCTATAATGAAAATGATTTATGTGGCCTTTGATATACAACATTTTTATATGACAGTAGTTCTCAGCTGGGGGTGATATTGTCTCTCAGTGGACATTTGATACACTACTGTTAGTCATTTGGCAATGTCTGTGGACATTTTTGATTGTCGTGATGCGGGTGTGTGTGTGAGGGGGGTGATGCTACTGGCATCTGGTGGGTAGAGGCCAGGGATGCTACTAAACATCCTACAATGCCCAAGATAGCCTCCCACAACAAAGAACTGTCCAGCCCAAAGTGTCAATGGTGTGGAGGCTGAGAAACCCTGTCATATGTGAATGAAGGTAACATGGGAACAGTATTTGAGACTCTAATGCTTCTGGTGCACAACCTCCTGTCCTCCTAGCTCATTCACCCTACTTCCCCCACTATGCCTGGTTTCTGACCACATCAGGTCTCGTCTTGACCTTTTCCCCAGCCTGCCGGTTCCCTCCCAGCTTTGCTTCCATCTCTGTCCCGCTCAGATCCCCAAAGTCCATTACTGCAATCACCTCTTCAGTCTCACCTCTCCCTACTCTCCTATTTTAGAATGCACTGCCCACTCCTATCTTCTTAGCTACTTAGCAAACTCTTGCAATACCTGGCTCAAAAGTCATCTGCTTTAGGAAATCTTCCCTGACTCCGGCCCTAGTCAGTTAACTAATCTTGCCTTCCACTGTGCTACCGTGACACAGTGTACTACAGTCATATATACTATAGGTATAATGTGTATATGTATTATAGATATAAGACTGCAAAAATAAATCTCAAGATGTTTTCTTCATGGTTATGAGGGTGGGGAGGGAGGGAGGGAGAGGGATATTCACTAACTAAATAATAGACAAGAATTATCTTATGTGATACTCCACTGGTCTACCCCTCCAGGAGCAAGGGAGAATGAAGAAAACAAGATATAAGGCAAAGATTAGTCCACAGGACTAATGGACCACAACTACCACGGCCTCCACCACTCTGAGTCCAACACACCTAGATGGTGCCCGGCTACCACCACTGACTGCTCTGGGGATCACAACAGAGGGTCCTGGACAGAGCTGGAGAGAAATGTAGAACAAAATTCTAACTCACAAAAAAAGACTAGACTTACTGGCCTGACAGAGACTAGAGAAACCCCGAGAGTATGGCCCCCAGATACCCTTTCAGCTCAGTAATGAAGTCACTCCCGAGGTTCACCCTTTAGCCAAAGATTAGACAGACCCATAAAACAAAATGAGACTAATAGGGCACAACAGCCCAGGTACAAGGACTAGAAGGCAGGAGGGGACAGGAAAGCTGGTAATAGGGAACCCAAGGTCGAGAAGGGAGAATGTTAACGTGTTGTGAGGTTGTTAACCAATGTCATAAAACAATATGTGTACTAACTGTTTAATGAGAAACTGTTTCATCTAAAGTACAATTAAAAAAAAAATTATCTTAAGTGAAGAGAAGGGCAACACACACTACAGAGGAAGTCAGCATAACTGGACTAAACCCAAAGCTAAGAAGTTTCCTGAATACAACCAAACACTTCAAGGGACAGAGTAGCAGGGCTGGGGGTCTGGGGACCATGCTTTCCAGGGACATCTAGGTCAATTGGCATAACAAAGTTTATTAAGAAAATGTTCTGCATCCCACTTTGGTGAGTGGTGTCTGGGGTCTTAAAAGTTAGCAAGCGGCCATCTAAGATGCATCAATTGGTCCCAACTCATCTGGAGTAAAGGAGAATGATGAACACCAAAGACAAAAGGAAAACAGTAGCCCAAGAGACAGAAAGGGCCGCATAAACCAGAGACCTCGTCAGCCTGAGATCAAAAGAACTAGATGTGCCCTGCTACCACCAATGACTGCCCTGACACAACAGAGAGTCCCTGAGGAGCAGAAGAAAAGTAGGATGCAGAATTCAAATTCTAGTCAAAAGACCAGACTTAATGGTTTGACTGAGACTGGAGGGATCCCGGAAGACATGGCCCCCGGACTCTCTGTTGGCCCAGAGCTGAAACCATTCCCGAGGCCAACTCTTCAGACAAAGATTAGACTGGATTATGGGACATAAAGTAATACTCGTGAGGAGTGTGCTTCTTAGCTCGAGTAGATACATGAGTCTAAATGGGCAGCTCCTGTCCGGAGGTGAGATGAGAAGGCAGAGAGGGTCAGGAACTGGTTGAATGAACACGGGAGATCCATAGTCGAAAAAGGAGGAGTGTGCTGTCACAGTATAGAGAGAGCAACTACAGTCACATAGCAATGTGTGTATACATTTTTGTGTGAGAAACTGACTTGAATTGTAAACTTTCACTTAAAGCACAATTAAAAAAAAAAAGTTTTCTTCTGGGTGGTAGGGTTTAAGTTGATTCTTTTTTTGTTTTATATTTCCTAATTCTTCTACAATAAATGCATTTCTTATACAATAAAAGCAAAAGGGGGAAACACACTATTGTTAGTCATTTCTTTTACACGTCTGTTTCTATTTTATTTATCTCTTTCTAACTAGTTCCCAGCACAGTACTTGATACAGAAAAGTTACTTATTATGTACTGGATAAATTAATAAAAGAAGCAAGGGGAAAAGAGGCAAACAAAGGTTCTTCTATGAAAGTTCTTGGCAAAAAAAAAAACAACCCAACATGAAACCTTGCCCAAATAAGTTGACTATTCATAACTGATATTCACAATACAACAATGTGTTGATCAAAGAGCAGGCTCTGTCTGTAGTTGCAACTAAAGCCATCTAGTCAGGATTTCCTTTCCCATCTTTGCCACAAGCCATTCCTGAGTAAAGGACTTTTGACTATGGTTGGCAAAGGCTCACTCTGGCTTTGGCTTTGGAATTGACTCTTGAAACGCTACCGAGTTCCTTAAATCTACTTTAAGGAACATAGTTCAACAGAATAATACAAGAGAAAAAGTAATCTGTAAAAAGATAATTATAGCATATATAATAGTGAAATAGTGGAAAATTTCGGAACAAGCCCAAACAGGAGAATGATAAAAAATACATATACATATATATATGTACATATGTATGTATGTATATATGTATATGTATAAAATTCTCTAAGCTATATTGAATAACAACAAGTTTGTGGACCTGTGAATTTCTCGTCATTTTTATATGAAATAATGTTAAAGCAAAAAGAAGACTATGACACAATTTATACACTGATCATACCAACTATATGTACAAAATATAAATGTATTTTAAAGACAGGAAGAGAATCTGCAGTGATGGTTTTCTTTTTCTCTAGGGTTAAAGACCATTGTTTTTAAGCAGCAGGGAAAAAGGAAATATAAAACATTAGCAGGTTTTTAAGGTGTACTTCATTAAGAGAAAAATGTCATGGCCGTCATGGTTCCCTTTACTAAAGCCTCTTTGCCTTCTAAAACATACGGTGATGCTGACAGGAAAGGTACTTTAGTCAGGAGCCTGGGGGGGAAATGACAGTCTCAGATGCCCTCCTCAATGTAAACTGAGAAATGTAATGACAAATGTGCCCTTGGTACTGAAGGGCAAGGTCTTGTACCAACAAGGATCATGAGTTTAAATCACTACATCTATGGTTTTGGGGACAGAGGGATTTCCTCAGAAAGAGATTTTTATTAAAATTAGTACTCTTTAAAGCTTCTCTAGTTGAGAATCTGCTCCACCATGTGAACATCTATATGTGACTATTTTTCACTTGCACTTTACATCAGATGATGACAAGAGACTGGCCATGAGCAGCTCGGGCAGGCTGAGAACTTACCCCGATATCATCGTCACTCTGTATCAACTGTGAGTGTCCAAAGAGGCGTCTCTTCAGTATGGGTTCAACCAGAGTAAGATATACCATGTACAGAAGTAGCAGGCCCAAAATGGAGAGGTAAATTATTATGGTAACCTGAAGGAAATTGAAAATGTTATATCTCTGCTCTAAGAAATCAGAATTTTGCATGATAATAGTACAGCCACAGTGAAGACTGATCTATCTGCTAAACCTATAGGATTTACACATAAACCAGATGCCAACACAAGAAACAAACTCTTCACCAAAGTATTACTTAAGGAATAAGAGGAACAAAACCACTTTGTCTTTGGGATCTTTTTGCGAGTCTTCAAAACTCCCATCTTCACCTACTGCTAATCACTTGTCACCACTGCTAGTACAGCAGTTTTCTTTCTTCAGCTGAATATTGTGTCCTAGATTCAGCAGCACTGTTGTCAAAACAATTTAAAGGAACCCTAACAGAAAATGTAAATCAAGTGAATTTCAACAGAAAACTCTTTTAGATCAATTTAAATATACAAAAAGACTTTTTAGACTAGCAATTTTCTTGAGATCTTAATTTGTGTGCTGTCAAACAGTACAGCGTGACACACCCATTAGAATGGCTGTAGTGAAATAGACAATACCAAGTGTTGGGAGGATGTGTGTCGATAAACCGGAACTCTCATATGTTGCTGATGAGAATATAAAATAGTACGATCACTTGGGACAATCTGACAGTCTCTTAAAAAGTTAAACATAAACTTACCACTGTAAGAAAACTATCCAAGAGAAAGGAAAACATATGTCCACAAAAAGACATATAACAGCATTATTCATAATAGTAAAAAACTGGAAATAATCCAAATATCTATTATCTGATGAATGAATAAACAAAGCGGTACATTCATATAATGGAATAGTATTCAGTAATTAAAAGCAATTAAGTACTGATACATGCTACAAGTATAAACCTCAAAAACACGATGCTAAGTAAAAGAAGTCAATCACAAAAGACCACATACTGTGTGATTCCATTTATATGAAATGTCCAGATCTGCAGAGACAGAAGACAGAATACTGATTGTCTGGGGCTGGGAGTGGGAATGGGGATTAATTGTATAGGAACATGACAGATTTTTTGGGGTGATGAGATTGTTCTAAAACTGGACCATAGTAATGGTTGCAAAACTCTATAAAATTACTGTAATTCACAGAATTGTATAATTACAATGAGTGAATTTTAGGGCATATAAATTATACATCAAAAAAAAGTGGTTTAGAAAAAAGTATAGTGAGGATTTCTCTGCAGTGCAGCACCCTGCTGGAGCAGAGCTCTCCCACAGGATCAATCACAACTGAAATCTCTGTGACTGTTACAACTGACCACCCATGATTCCTCATGAAGCCTTTTTTGGGAAAGGAATGGGCAGTGACATATAAAAACGATTTGTGAGAAGAACCATCAGCCATGACAGGCCCAAATGGTGATGAGAGTTATCCACATTCTATCTCCTACGAGAAAATCTTAAAATCCAGAAGTGATGTTTCTAGAATAGAAGAGTCTCTAATTTTATATACGTTTATATATATACATTTTTGGAAGGTTTTAGAGGGCAGGGAGAGGAAGGCTTAACCATGCTGCTCTCTCACTAGCCTTTGACGTACACGGCCCACAGAGAAGCTAGGATATCCTTCTGGGACAGGCAATTACACACAGGGCATTTTGTGCCATTTCACATACCTATCTCATATATCCTAATCAATCCACAAAGCATCTCAATGAGGCAGACAGAGAGCAGGCCCACTGCTCTTTCTGGAGCAGCAGAGGGAGCTAGCAGGGATGGGCAGTAATTTAGGTAATTAAAATAGAATTAAGATGCCCCTGATTTCCTGTCTTGTTTCAAGACCACCAGGAACTACTCCAGAAGCAGAAAAGATGGATTGTTTTTTTTTTTTTTTTTTTTTTACCTTGATGGTAACAGAGCTTCTTTCCTCATATTTGCATTCACAGCGAAGACAGTACGCTTCTACATCAGGCCCCAGCACAGGCATGGGCTCTACAACGTGAAGGCAATCGCTGAAAAAACAAAGGTAAAATATTGCTTAAGCCTGGGTGGATTTTCTACTTGCATTGATCAAAACATCCCTGAAATTCAGAATAATCGTAGGACTTACCCAATGAGAGAATATAAGGAACAAATAATCAGTAAGGCAAAGTAAACTCATTCCCTCTCCTAATATTAATAATTTGGTAAGATTTAACAGTCTAGGAAACCATAAAAATACATACATAATAGTTGCTCATTTCCAAAGGTGCTACTGTTAACAGTTAAATCCACCTGAAAAACCACAAAAGGGATAGAAAACTATTTAGATCAGTCAAGTCATGTTTAGACTTGTCAGTTACCAAGCAAAACTGCTTTAAATGTTTTAAAGTGACTCGGGGCACTGCTCAAACATAAGATTATTCTCTTTTGTGAATTAACAAACATTCTTAACTGCCACAGTGTGACAGTCTGATTATCAAATTTACAGTACGGTAATTCTGAAACTCTAAAAACTGAATTCTCAAAGCCACAGTAAGAAACAATTACTCTTCTTAAGGAGCAAAAGCCTACCGAAAAAGTATGGAGAAGTAGCATTAAGACAACAAAAATATTTTAAAATGAAAAAGGATTACTGTGGAGAAGTATATAAAAAGTAATAAAAGACTTTTTTTTGTTGTTGTTAGACATTTTTTGTTTATTCCTCTATACCCCCATTTTTCAGGCTACTTATTAGGGTCTCTATGAGTCAGAATCGACTCAAGGGCAACGGGTTTGGTTTTTTTTTTTTTTTTTTAGTACTAGCTTATAAAAAAACAGTGCTATCAAAAATATATTTTCCTAAACGCTCATGATCACTGGCCATTAGAGAAATGCAAATCAAAACCACAATGAGATACCATCTCACCCTGGCATTACTGGCACGAATCAAAAAAACAGAAAATAACAAATGTTGGAGAGGTTGTGGGGAGACTGGAACTCTTATGCACTGCTCGTGGGAATGCAAAATGATATGGCGCTTCCTCAGAAAGCTAGAAATAGAAATACCATATGATTCAGCAATCCCACTCCTAGGAATATATCCTAGAGAAATAAGAGTTGTCACACAAATAGACATATGCACACCTATATTCATTACAGCATTGTTCACAATAGCAAAAAAATGGAAACAACCTAGATGTCCATCAACAGATGAATGCATAAACAAACTACGGTACATACACACAAAGGAGTATTATGCAACAATAAAGAACAACAATGAATCTGCGAAGCGTCTCATAACATCGATGAATCTGGAGGGCATTATGCTGAGTGAAATAAGTCAATCACAAAAGGACAAATATTGTATGAGACTACTACTGTAAAAACTCATGAAAAAGTTTACACATAAAAAGAAACAATCTTTGATGGTTACGAGGGAGTGGAGGGGTGGGGATGGAAAAACACTAAAAAGACAATAGATAAGTGGTAACTTTAGTGAAGGGTAAGACAGTACACAATACTGGGGAAGCCAGCACAATTTGTATACAAGGCAAGGTCCTGGAAGCTCCATAGACACATCCAAACTCCCTGAGGAACCGAATTGCTGGGCTGAGGGCTGTGGGGACCATGGTCTCGGGGAACATCTAGCTCAATTGGCATAACATAGTTTATAAAGAAAATGTTCTACATTCTACTTTGGTGAGTAGC